TATGCATCCATAATATTTTGTGTTGGTGACCCATAATGTCTAATATATGTAATCTTTTTTTTTCTATTGAAGATGTGTATACTCGCATGCGTTCTATTAATTGCTTCAATACAACCCTAGGTCATTTATGTAAGATATTAGGGTTAACACTCTTAAGTTAATATTGATAAATATGGGGAGTTTTGAAATGTTGGGTCCTCAGGTTTTATAATTCTTGAGGATAAGCTGACAAGAGTGTCTAATCCAACCAAAAAATATCTGCTAATTGTTTCTGATGAGTGCAAGAATTGATCCAGGACTCCTCTCATGGACTCATTTTGTGACTAAATGTAGAAGGCTATAGCTAACACCTCTCTTGAAGTCATCCTAAATGAGCCATGGAGTTCATTATTTTTGTGCAGTTTCTCTAATAGATCAATAAATATGAGTTGTGTCATATGAAACATGTGAAATCTTCTAGGGTGACACAAGGAACTCCCCAACTCACTTGTCGCATGTGTATGTGGATGTCATGCAATGAAAACGAGCAATAAATGAGTTGTAATACTCATACATTAATCATATTACATATGCAATTTTTTTGTCTCTCTATCAATGTTATTTATTTTTATGCAACTAACACATATAAATAACACTGAATTAACAAGTGTTGCATTAAACAAAAATAATGACTGCAAATATTCCAAAGGCAATGAAATATGTCCAATAATGAAAAACAACTCAAACATAATGAAAATAATATAAATAATTTCCAACAAGTAGCATAGATAATATCCACATAGCAGTCAAACATAAAGTGTGTCAAACAAATAATACAAAATTCAAGCATCCCAGTTGTCATGGAAATAACGTAAGTAATTAACCCTATGGTCAAGTTTCATCGACATGAAGAATTATGTTTTAGTCGGGTCTTCTAGCAACTTCATAGAGAATAAGTAAAATGACACGTCCTCGTAAATTTCTGGATTTTCTTCCAGAATTCGCATAACTTGCTGAGTAGAAGTTGCATGTGATGTGCTAGGATTGGTGCATGAAACAACTAATTGTGAAACCCGACTTCTGATGAAAATTGCACCATCATTTTTCTTTTTCTCATGTCGTGGACTTTTGGATCAACTAGTAGATTCAATTTTCATTGGAAATTTGTTTGCTCGATATCTACACGGTCAACTTTGTAAGCAAGCCCTCTCTCACTTGATGCCTATGCATGATCACCTGTAGCCACGACTCCACCAAACATACGATTTAACAATTCTTTAAACTCAGGGTCAATGCCACAGAACTAAGATTTTTTAGCATTTGACACGGCTTACAAATCAATGGAGAATTGATATGTTGATGTGATTGTAAAAAATAGGTGGACTGAACGTTTCATAAATTCTCACCTCCAATCTCTCAACCCACCATTTTTCCAATACATTGATGGTTCGCTTTTCCAGATCCCAATCTAAGTCCGTCGATCCTCGCTTTAACTATTTTTGTTCTTGTGCTTTTCTTGTACTTTTTTATTATATTCTGACATCCTTTCTTGTTAAATCAGGTGACTGACCAATTTTCTAATTCCACCTCTTCAAGATAAAGATTGCAAAATATTAGCTTCACCTCTTTATCTTACATGATAGACAAATCAATTTCTTTTGTCTTAATTACTAGCATGAAGAAAACTAAGCAACATAAATGTGTGGCAAAGAATATATGGTTATTTCATGAAAACATAAGAACTTGAAAAGGTAACAGAAATGAAACATCTGAAATCTATTAGCATGTCACCAACATACACCACCACCACAAATTTACCATCTTCACACCACTGTATCATCAACTCCTACACACCACCACCACAGCATCATCAACACCAACATACTACCACCAACATATCATCACAACCAACACACTATCACCAACACATCCGTCACCACCACCATTATATCATATACACCAACACACCACCACCACCGCATCACCAACGCTAACATACTACCACCACTACATTATCACAACCAACACATTATCACCAACATTACCACCAACAGCACACCACCACCACCGCATCACCAACGCTAACATACTACCACCACTACATTATCACAACCAACACATTATCACCAACATTACCACCAACAACACACCACCACCAAATCATCAACACCTACAGACCACCACCACTACATCCTTGACCAACACATTACCAACAAAACTATCACCACCACCACATCATCAACACCAACACACCACTAACACCACATCATCAACACCAACACGACCACCACCACATAATCATGACCAGCACACTACCACCAATACCACTGCCACCAACCCAACACACGACCACCACCACACCAACAAACCACCACCAACACACCAACAAACCACCACCACCACACAATCAACACATCACCACTACTCTCATCTATCACACCAACAAACCATCACCACCACACCCATCAACACACCTCCACCATCACTCCCATCTACATACCTCACCACCACCTCACATACCATGTACACACCACCACCCCGACCACGTGAAGACCTCCAAACACAATGCACATTCCCTCTGAGAAAGAGGGCAACCCACCCAAACTAACCAAATCGAGAAATGGAGCATACACAGACGCCATGAACCAGAAAGAGCTTCCCAACCTCCAAAATCAACAGAGAAGAGCAAATTCCAAGTCTATTCATTCCAGAGGCCACTAATTTTAAGTCCATTCATTCCAGAGCCCACAAATTTGAAGTTCATTCATTCCTGGGGCCATAAATTGAAAAAAGCAAGTCACAAAACACATTGAACCAGAAATTGGGTAGAGCAAATAACACAAACAACAACAAAAAAAGGTAAATGATACCAAAATCTAAAATCCCATCCTCATAATAGTAGAATATTGATTTTACAGTAGAGCAAGGTGATAAATCGCAAAGAGAAAGCCACAAATTTCAAGTAGACCTCAAACCACAAAGAAAATTGATAGAGGATACTGTAGGAGGACGGAGAGTAAATGAACCAAACGGAGTTATGAGAGAAGAGGATTCCTTATGACAAAGACGCGAGACAAGAGAGGATAGGGCAGAGTTGTGAGAGAGTCGGGCGAGTGGCTAATGAAGTATAAAATCACATAAAAGCGTGGAATGCAAGGTAGAACCCAAGACCCACGTTTTTTGGTGTGTCTTATAAAACGCTGCCGTGTTGCAGGATCCAAATGAACAATTATGTGTTTTACAACCGTGCTGCAGCCAAAAGTCCGCCAAACGGGTTCTTAGCTTATTGATGTCCTTAGCTTTCTAATAATACCTCCACCAACCCAACACACCAACAAACAACCTGCGCCACACAATCAACACTCTACCACCACCACTCCTATCTATCACACCAACAAACCACCACCACCACACCACCACCAGTACTTCCATCTACACACACGACGACCACCACATACCACGTACGCACCACCACCCAACCACCTGGAGGCCGCCAAACACAATGCACATTCTATCCGAGAAAGAGGGCAACTCACCTAAACCAACAAATTGAGAAATGGAGCATCCACAGAGGTTACAAACCAGAAAGAGATAAGCAAATTCCAAGTCTTTTCATTCTAGAGGCTACAAATTCCAAGTCCATTTATTCCATAGCCCACAAATTTCAAGTTTATTCATTTCAGGGGCCACAAATCGAAATAAGCAAGTCACAGAACATATTGAACTAGAAACAGAGTTGAGCAAATAGCGTGAACAACAAATAAAAAAATGTTAGATGATTCCAAAATCCAAAATCTCATCCTCATAGCAGCGGAATATCGATTTTACAGTAGATCAAAGCCACAAATCACAAAGAAAAACCCACACAGTTCAAATGAAGCTCGAACCACAAAGTAAAATGATAGAGGATATTGTAGGAGGACGGAGAGCAAAGGAACCAAACGTAACCGCGAGAGAGGAGAGGACTTCTTACGACAAAGACGCGAGAGAGATAACCCCTTAGGGCAAAGACTTAAGAGAGGCAGAGAAACGAGGGAGACAGAGACACGAGAGAAGAGAGGATAGAGCAGAGACGTGAGAGAGTCAGCTAAGAGGGTAACGAAATATTAAAATCTCATAAAAATGCTGACCGCATGGTCGAACCAGTGGCCTGCGTTTAGGGACATTTTTCTTAAAATACTGCATGCTTGAACCAGTGGCCCGCTTTTAGGGGCGTTTTTCTTAAAATACTGCCGTGTTGCAGGATCCAAATGAGCAATTCTGCGTTTTCCCACCGTACCACAGCCAGAAAGTGTGCCAAACATAGAAATCAGAAATTTAGCATGAGATTGATTGGGATTACTTACCAGTTGATTAGTAGAGAAAGAACGTGCAAAGACTTCACCAGATCTACCAGGGTTAGATGTTCCAATAACACATCTTGCAGTAGGAAGGAACTACTCAAAGGAACCACAAGCCACAAAGTACAACCCCAAAATTCATCTCAAAACAAGTTCATAGATAGAGGCCACAAATAACAAAGAGCTGCCCCACTAAACACATAAATTAGGTTCCCCTTTTTATCAAAAATATTTTCACATAGGTATTCACTATCAATGAGCATATAGAGAGCAACCCAACCGAAATAGAGACCTAAAAGCCATACATTTTTAAGCTTCTAGCAGAGCTAATATTGACTAGAGTTGGTATGGTTACAATATTGCTTCAAAAATTTTATTTATTTATTTTTAAATTTAGCAATTTCAATTTTCATTTCTTATTGAAGAGTAAACGTGTGTCGCCTTCAAGGCAGAACGGTATACACTATGGGTCATAAGTATTTCTAATATTTATAGTTTGTTGTCGCACTTGCATTCGCTTTTACCCCTAAATACTCTTTGTTAGGATTATATGATTCTTAGCTATGTATCCTGCTTGGCCAGGATTTAACTTCAGTCTACTGGGATCTGCGATTGTCATGATACATACCCATTACTTTTTACCTACTGCTTCTTATAAAAAATCTCTTTTGGATTTTGCAGACCACGTGAACTTCTCGAGTCTCCTCCATCCAATTGCTGTATAATGTGAGATGGGGAAAGAAATAATCTATGGATTAAGCTGACAACATCATCATAGATCGCATCTCAGCCTACCTACGCCATCTAAAAGAAGGAAAGTTGCTCTATTCGTCCTTCATAACTGAAAATATGGATGTTTCTCTTGTTGTGGCTATTGATTCTCCAATTATTTAGTCTTGTGGTTCTTGTTGATCAGAACTTCCAAGGACTTGTGTGGAAAAAGAGGATATTTATTCATTTAAATGTCTGCAGGAAGGAACTAAGTTATACTTTATATCTACACACTGAATCTTCTCTTTATTATTAATAATAAGTGTTGCTTTCATTCGATTTTATATGATAATACCTGGAAATTGTACAAAATTACATTATTTGTCATTTTGGACAGTTTGAATAAGTCTTTTCTTATATAATACATGCACAATATTTTCTCTGAAAAAAAATGAATCTCTGATAAACATACAAGTAGGTCTCCTCATCAAACTCCTGTTTAGGCATCCCTAGGGCCGAGCCAATGCCTTCCATTGACAAAGCTCTTTACTAGGAATGGCCGAGCTGCTTTGTAATCAAGTTCTCGCGCCCACGAAGCACTTCGCACATACACTGCACCAGGACCCCAGCATCTGTAGCTCCCAAAGTACGCAGTACTGTGACAAATTAAAATATTTCAGTTTCAAGATCTCCAGAATACCGCAAACAATTTTCAGTACATTCATCTTATAATCATTCAGTTTACTTTTTCTTGCTATCATTGTGATCCCAATCGTCCCATCCACCCTCTGCAACAACATCCTCAAAGTAGGTGTAGGCAAAAACAATCCTTGAGTACTGTCCCATTGCTCTCCCCACATACAGCTTCCCCGTGCCGGTCACTCTACAGTTGACAAAAGCAAATCCAGTTTGCTCGCACGGCGAATGCCTATCCTGTGCAGCGATCGACCCAAACCTGCTTGCAATTGAGTGCAGCCAGCAATTCTGCAGCTCAATCGTCAGCACTCATGAACTGAAGAAGTTTTTTAAAATAGATAGCTAATGAATTTTTATTGTGTTTGAAATACAACCTTGTACATTGATCTTCCATTGCCAAATATGAAGTCTATGGATCCTTCTATGTAACAGTCCTTGAAGTAATGCCGGCCTGCATCATCGCAGAGGGTATCCTGAGCTCCGTAGAAACCACAGCCGAAGAAGTAGGCCTTGTCGCCGGAGATGCGGAATGCTGCAGCTTGCCATCCTTCCATTCCAGGTAATGGTGCAGGCGCCGAGTTCTGAAACATTGAGGAGAATGAGAAGGGGCATTTACATTCGTATCACAATACATAAACCATACATGTTTACACATATCACTCAAATCTTTAACATCACATAAAATACACCATCATTATCTTTCTAAAAGTGAAATACAGCTTGCCATGCATGAGTTTGCAGTGAGGAGCGTAAATATTAAACTTTGGGTGTTAGAATATTGTGGTATGTGTGTAGATTTCCCTATGAAGAAGGAAGAAGGGAGAGTTCCACTCCATTGCTTGAACTGACAGTGCCTGGTGTCGGTATTTCGGTAGGTTGGCGGCGCGCCGATGATTTCAATTTTGAAGTTAGACAAACTTACCTTGAAGCTAATATTCCTAGCAATGAAATAATTAGCAAATACAGTTACTGAAGCTGTATGATAAGTCCTGAGCTGCTGGCCATTGGGACCTCGGTCGCTGGCTCTGTCGTGCCACTCTATCACTGTCTTCTCTTTTCCAGATCCCTGAAACGTGATATAAGGCTTCGTCGCCGGAACCACCACCTTCTCTCTAACCAGATATAATCATAGAGAGGCGAAAATTAGTTTAGTACAAGGTTTTCAACAAAATGAATGCACATTTTTGTCTCATTTTCAAATTATCAACATTCATACATGTAGTAGCCAGGGTTGATCTGCAGGATGAAGTGCTTGGTGTTGTTCTCTGGTATTGAATCTACGGCATCCTGAACTGAAAGGAAGTCGCCGGAGCCATTGGCGTCAACGATGATCACTCGCCGGCCAGTCGGGCTTACCTGGTTGTGCTGATGGTGGTGCCTGGTGGAGTTGAAATCACAGCTGAAGGAGTGCAGTTTTTGTGATTGAAGTAGTAGGAAGATGAGAAAAAGGAAGAGTGTTGCTGCAGCATCCATGGAAAGGGAAAAGGTGGGGATGGTGAGTACTGGGCGGAGATGGGGAAAAGCTGGCTGGTGTTTATAATCTGAGGGGAGAGGGAAGAAGCATCCAAATATTATTTGTATGTATGCGGAATGCTGGTCGGCCTAACGGTCATGGCTGCTGTTTCTTTTCACCTTTTCGTTATTCACCTTGAACTTTGGTTTAATAAATTTTCTTATCATTTTGCTTTTCTGCAAAATGGAAGTAAGAAAAGGGGGTCGAAATGTTATAATGCCAGAAAAATGGAAGCAACTAGGGGTGTAAATCTCGCGGCTCGTTTAAAAAATATGTGTTTGTGTACGGCACTTTTATATTTTGAACATAAAAAAATTGTTTGTGTTCGGCTTTTTTACTTAGCGAGCGAACACGAGCTATTCATGAATAAATAATCATTTTGACAACACTAGTAAAAATGCTGTAGGATGTTAAGTGTTGGGGCGAGATTTAAATCTTATTAGTTATATTAAAATATTATTTAAATATAATTTAATATATTTTTAACTTAATAATTTTAATTGATTATAAAACTAGGTAGCCTTTTAGTTAATTAAATTATTTAAGAAATACTATATATAGAATATAATTATTCCAAACCAAAACGAGCTCAATGAACAAATCTTTGTTCATATTTGGCTTGTTTATGTATCGAGCGCAAAAAAAATTATTTGTGTTCGGCTCGTTTGCGAACGAATTAAATATGAGCTTCTTAACAAGTTGAATACTAAGTGTTCACAAACAACGAACCGTTTTGGCAGTTCTAGATGCAACGAAAAAATTAATATGTGCTAGTTGATTAAAAATAAAGCATAAAATTTTAAAATGTTGAGCCCTCTCGTCTGAAAAAAAGCAAAAATTATCTTTCCAGACTCCTGACGCAACTCTACTTGCGGACTGTAATAATATGTTGTCATGTGTGCTACATCGTGAAGTTATTTCGGATTATTGAAGTGAAACTACAAATGTTATTTCGGGGTTATTGAAGAGAAACATATATATTTCACTTCAATAACACATAAATAACTCAGAAATAACCCTGAAATAATCTTTGCACATCACAAATGTTATTTCGAGGTTATTTTTGGGTTATTGAAATGAAATATATGAGTTTCTCTTCAATAACCATGAAATAACCCAGAAATAACTCCATAATAACATTTACAGTGTTATTTCAGAGAGGTTATTTGAGGTTAATAAAGTGAAACAGTGTAGATTATTTCGGGGTTATTTTGGGTTATTTTGGAGTTATTGTGAAGTCCACAATTTCTCTTTAATATTTTTTTAGGTGGACCCGATATGACACACATGACGGTATATTACTGGGAGTTCGCATGTAGAGCTACGCCCGGAGTCCTGGCAGGAAAATTTTCCATGAAAAAAAGGGTGTTTATAGGCACTGTGCTAAACATATTCATTTACCTATCCATGACTATAAGTTTGAATGTTAAGCTAGTGCCATGCAATACCAAGCAAAATGACGGAATTAAATAGGAATACCAGTTCCGTTTAGGGGTGTAAACTTGTAGAGTCGAGCTCGAGCTCATCTATTTGAGCTTGAGTTTGTTTAATTTTAGCGAGTTTGAGTTCAAATTTAAATTTGCAACTTATTATAAAAAATAGATAATTATATTAGTTCAAAGTAATGTACCATCAAATAGAATGCACAATCAGCAGAAAAATAATAAGAAATTATTTGATGCGTTCTAGAAAATTTGCGGCTGTAGAGTAATGGATTATTTTTTTAGCATTGCACGAGGATTCAACACACATTCAGATGAAAGTGAAACAACCAATGATAACACCAGAAGTTTTTAAGTGGAAAACCTGTAAATGGAAAAACCACGAGACCTGACCCAGTTATAAAAATCCACTATATGTTGATGATTACAACGACCCTTTGTCCCACAGACGGGAAATGGTTACTAGATTTTCAGATTACAGCGTCTCCTGACGGTGTCCGGTCCACGGTGGTCGTCGATGATCGACGGTGGATGACGGTCGGCGATGGTCGACGACGATCGGTGGTCGATGATGGTTGACGGTGGTCGACGACGATATGTGGTTGTCGACAAATGTTAGCGGTGGTCGACGACAGTCGATGTGGTCGACGACAGTTCTCAAAGCCTCAAGTTTTCTCTCATGCCCCCTTCCCATGTGAGGGGTGAGACTCTATTTATAGTATTTTGGGTGTCATTAATGCATGAATATGAACCATTTTGATCGGACAGTCCGGAGAGCTTCCCTTGATGGGATGGTGTTTGACGGACATTTAAGTGCCTTAATGATGTTAGAATTGAGCAATCTTGGGCTGGTTGGATTTGTCTTGTCGAGATGCTTGATTTGACTATTAAATCACAAGATTCGACATCCGTTTGACATTCCAAATGTGTCTGGAAATCCTCCATAATTAGTTTAATGATTTGATCCGGGTTTGATCTGACTTGGATAAGACTAATTTTTATATTGTTGAGTCCGTCTAATCGAGGCGTTCAGTTTGACTATAAGTTTGTTGAAATCAGAACTCTGGATGAGTCTTAATCGAAGTTTGAATGTTTCTTGTTCAAAAAATTGCACTGAGATTCGTGCTGGCTGATGAAAATTTGTTGGTGACGTATCAGTTGCTCATCTATTTTCGGGTGAGATCATTTTTTTTTCTTTGCGTCCAAAAATATTGAGATTTGAAACACTCATTATTTATTTATATATTTATTCATTTTCATATATATATATATATATATATATATAGCATTTTTTAGGCAATGCTTTGACAGCTTTTGCTAATTATTTAGTTTGCTTTGCTAATTATTTTAATCACACGCTTAAGTAATATTAATTTAACACAAAGGAATCCGAGAATGCCGAAAGATACTAAGCGGAAGCAGAAGCTGAAGCGGGATCGGCGAAAAGCATGGAGCCGAAGTGCGGGAAGTGAAGCGGGTTTTAATTTTTTTAAATAATAAGTATTTAATAACTCAAATTCTGTTTGAGCCTATAAATAGGCCTCAAAGAGAGGAAAAAGGTGGAGTCCTCAGTTGATCTAGGATTTCTCACAAGAAAAAAAATCATCCTGCGTAGCAGTGAAGAGTTGCTGCGAAGAGTTCTGATGAAGAGTTGTAGCGAAGAATTACAGAGCAGACTTGCGGCGAAGAGATGCCACGAAGAGTTGCGGTGACAGATTGCAGTGTAGCGTTACGATAAAGAATTGCGGTGGAGAGTTGTGGTGCAGCATTGTGACGCAAAATTACAGTGTAGCGTTGAGGCGCAGAGTTGCAGCCACGGGTTACAACGTATTCTTGCGGCGTAGAGTTGCGATACAAAGTTGCGGCGATTCGCAAAGTTGCGGCGAAGAGTTGCGATGTCAAGTTGCGGTGCGAAGTTAAGATTAAGAGTTGCAGTGCAGGAAAAAGTTGTTGTGACAAGTTTTTTTGCCGAGTTGCAATGCAGTGTTGCAGGAATTGTCGAGTTACAGAGAAGTGTCACGGGAAAGAAAGAGTTGCAGCATAGAAAAAAGTCGTTTTCGTTCTGCATAGCAGACAATCAACAGGATATTTTTTTCTTATTTATGTTGCACATTTCAGAGAAGACCTTTCGTGTCGCCCTTGCACGTTCTGAAGGTGAAGAAGAAATGTTATAGTTTTTGTGCCACGCTTTGAGGAGATGATTTTCATGCTTATGTGATGGCGATATTTAGAGACCCCTGACGATCATAAAAAAATATTTTAATTTTAGGGAGGCCATGCCCACTCTAATTGAAGATAAACTGATTTATTGTAGCGCTTGTATAAATATATGTTGGTTTTTGTAAAATTTTTAACCATCGAATGTGAAGTTTGTAGATGATGATAATGTATTTCCTTGTTTTTTCCACGGTTGTTGTGATTTCTCAATCGTACGAAATTCTGCAATTAAAGTTAGAATAAAAATTTTATAAAATGAAGAGTTGAGTACCTTTTGTGGTTCATGCCTTCCTAGGTTGTGACCACCCAGACCTGTCTTTTATAGGAGCTTGAACCGGTACCTTCTAAGACTCGTAGTCTTATGAGGTTTTTCAATGAAGACCCTTTTGAGTTCATCTTCCAACGACATGGTAACTTCTTATTGGGTCTTGTCATCTGAGCTTGACTTCTAGGGTCATGGTTGAAAGGAGAATTCATTTAGAATGTAAGACCAGTTCCGAGTTATATAACCAGAGATGCTCGACGGTATTAACCTGTAACAAATTCATATGAAATCCACAGATGATGGTTGCCCTATCATAGGTTGTTGGTCAAAGCTTTTGTTTGACGACTGTAACATATTATGGAATATGTCGAAAGAAATCCATCATGGATTTTTAACTTATCCGAGGCTGTATGTCGAAGTTTTTGCTTGACGACAGTAGCCTGTAATGGAAGAGGTCGAATCAAGTCCCCTTGGGATCGATTAAACCTAGAATGAGGTGTCAGAGATGCTCTGCATTTCTCGAGACTAATGGTAGATCACAATGGATCATATATTTTCTTGTAAATATGATTGCAATCATACTCAAGGAAAATGTTTGACAACTTATTAGTTGTTTCTTTTGAATCTTTTTGCCCGCCAGCGTGGGCGTTTTCCATGTGAGCTTATAAAACAACCCATGTATCGGGCTTTAAAGAGACGAGCTTCTTAATTTAGTTGAACAAAAACTTCAGTATGATAAGGGGCGCTGAGGAAGTGTTATTTTCGGTGAAGATTTCCCATAGTACAGGAGCGATTCTTGTAGACTTGTAATCTTAAAAAAATGTGGGATGACTTCTCCACCACAATCGTGTCCGAGACGTTAACATAAACAACCTTTCGAGACTGCAGTGAAAGTTTGCCCCAGCCTGAAAGAAGTTGTGAACTAATTTGTGTCTAAATAAGATGCGAGAAGATAACCTCATTACAGTCGTGGCCAGGACGTTGACGTGAACGGCCATTTGAGAATGCGGTGAAGGTTGCCCCCTTCATTGAAGAATGCTTCGGAGATTATTTTTAAGGCGTGAAGGAGGTTCCTTTGCCCGTTGGATGAAAAACATCATTGGGAAAGG